CTAAAAGAAATTGTGTCGCTATTTAAAGGAGTAAAGGATGAAGAAGTGCTAATGAGCACAATTAGCTTGGCCTTTCACAAATTGCTTGATGAGGTTGGATGTCATTAGAGAAGCTGAAAATGCACATGAGAGAAAATGGCGCCTTGGATTAGAAACCAGCCAAGGAGGAGGCAGTGTGCAAATTGTTGGGATCCAGCAAAAGCTTTTACAGTGATCCCATCCCAGTTACAGGTTGTTGGGATCATTTTTGCTTGGAGAACTGATGCCTTCAGTATCTGATTTGTCCCTCCTTTTGCATACAGATGTGGTGGTTTGGGGAGCATCAGAGCAAGGAAAGGTCTCCAGCCCCTGTAGTTCTTGCACTGTTGCATCAAGAATGAAACGTGAATGTCTGCTACTTGATTTTGTGCTTGCTTATCTTACAAATAAGCAGTGGATAATTAGATTTATTTTTATGGCTTTGGATTGGAGTTGGCAGATCACTTGGAGGGCACGCAGAGGTGCCGTTTCACGATGTTGATTGTCTCACACCACTTTTTATCCCCATTCCTGGCCACTAGGAAGCAAGAAGCTCCCTTTACCCTTCCTCATATACTTACCTACGGTGTTCTTCTCAGTCTTGCCTATTCCCCAGGCTATAATCAAAGTTTTATTTGCATTGCTTGGGGGGTATGTGCAGAACATGTAAAGTAGAAATGCAGGAGACAAGTCTGCTCTCAACGGGAGGAGCTGAGGCAGATGGGCAGAGAGGACAGATATTAATGGTAAAAACAGCACGCCTGCTCTGAAAACTACTGAAGTCTTATTGTTTAGGATTTGAAGTCCCTGCAAGGCAAGTAGAAATGTAGATCTGTAAATGAGAAAGAAGCTGCATGCAGTGCAAGTTGCTAGTGGAGAGTAAATATAAATCTGGATTTCTGTTTATCCTGCTTTTTGCACTGTTCTGAGTCATTCTATTTCCTTCCGGAGATTACTGAGGCTTGAAAATACTAATTCTTGCTTAATTATTGTGTGAATTCAAGCTTGAGCACTGTTAAAAAAAGATGGGAAAGGTTTTTTTGAGTTGTCTTTTTGTTTGTTTTTTACTCACCCCAACCAAGTAAATACTGAATTCTTGACCTGCAGTTGCTCTGAACGCATTTCTTTTCCAAGGGTACAGCAGACCTCTGCTCTCCCATGCCAGGCATCACAGGAGTGCTGTTGTGCACCATCAGTTTGTGAAAGGGGATCCAGGCTCAATACAAAGCAGCTGCGTGGGTTGATTTAACATAGTTCCTGTCCGACTTGGAGTTGCCACTACAGTAGGACTGGTCTGAGCTGTTATTCCATTGTCAGTTCTGTGCGAAGAGCTATGGAAAAGGTGGGTGAGGATTGGGAAAAGCAGTGAGAAGGCATGCATGGGGAGGACAATCGTTCAGGAGGAAAAGCCTTGGCCAGGGACTTCTGCCATTTAAGAGTGTGAGGTAGGGGCAGGGTGGAGGTGTGATTTCTCACCAAGAGACAGCCAAATTCAGGGTTGAAGAGAGTGATGAAGGGGAGGGGGAAGAGGTTACATGTGCTGATGGCTTGAAAGCTGTGGGGCCTCAGAGACTTGGAATACAGAAGGAAACTCGGCAAAGAGGGAGAAATGATGTGGTGAACACCTGGTGAGATTAACTGAGATTTTGTGAATGGATAGGCTGAAATGAGGACACTGGGGGACTTTCCAACCACCAAGGGCCCTCCAGAGCCCCAGAGCTCTGGTCCTCATCCTGAGCTGCCCCACCAGGAGAGATCTGGAGCCAGGAGCCAGCAGGGCTTTCTGATGCCACGTGCAAAGCACGATATGGCCAGCAGCTGCAAGGTGAGCTGGATCATGCCTGGGCTCTCAAATGCCTTTTATTGTATTAACCAGGTCTTGTTTGCACTCTGGTGACATTTATTCCTTTTAATAAAGCAGCTATCTAAAAACTGGTAGAGCCGGTGGAGCCTTGACTTTTACAAGGTGCCTTGTCTGATACTAAAACCCAACACCAGTAATCTTACCTGACTTAAAACGCCCCTATCTCTGCAGCCAGTACCGTACAGGTTTTAAATTTTCTGGTGATTTTCTTTGCAAACTGCTCAGCAGGGTATTATTCAGGCAGCTCCATCGAGGGACTAATACGACGTGTTCTAAATTTCAGACCCGTTATGTTGGGAATTTTCCATTGTGCAATTGCATTAAATCTGAGGCAGCTGACAAGAGCACGATGTTTCCTGACTCCACAAGAGGTTAAGTGACCAAAATAAAAATAGATGGAAAAGAAAACAAAGTAAGTTTGCTTTCTCATGTAGCAGCAGGCAGTAGCATGAGGTCACGGACTGAACGATAGCCCAGCCATCAGTCAGGGACCGTGAAACAATTGATGCTACCTGAATCACTTTGGAAATGATCTTCTGTTTCAGACACTCATGCTCTTTCATTCACACAGATCATATAACCAGGAAGACTGTGTTCAGTCAGTGTTTATATAAATTGTGGTAGTAATTACCGTGTATGTGAAGCATTTTATTTGTTAAATACGAGGCCTGTAGGATGTTATTTGCAGTATTTTCTTTACTAGGAAACAATTTTTAACATTACTTGTAGGAAAAATACATGCTGGGCTGACGTCAGTGGAAGGTGGGGGCAATCTGCAGAGCAGGATGGTGGTCTTGCGTATGGGAGAGTTGATGAATTTACAAACACAGCTGTCATGCCAGGACGGCAGCTACAGGTACAGCCAGAGCAATGATCTCCTGAAAGCAGTCTCAGCGGGGTGGGGGATCACGGAGCCTCGCAGCCTCCTATGCGGCTCCTGGGTCTCTGTCCTGCAGCACTCCAGGATCCTTCTGGAGCTGTTTTGCTCTGTGTTCCCATCCAACAGGGCTTTCACTTTTGCCCTCATTTTGCATCTCACAGGTTTTTGCTTTCAGCCCAAACTGCAAAGGCAGCTGTTCTCTTTCTGTCTGAAGTTCAGACCAGCTTCAGCAGGTACCAGCCCTCCAGTCTCATGTTAGCATGGTGCTGCTTGAATGTTTGTTAAGAAAAGTTTTATAAATAAAAGCAAAGGAGGCTCCCATTTAGTGCTGAAGCACTGAAGCAGGGCTTTATGCGTTTGCAGAGTTACGAGCTTTTGTTCAGGTGGAGCATGAGGTGCCCTCCAATGCTAAATCCCATTTTGTCCTGCTTAAATGACCACCTCCCCCCCACTCCAGTAGTCTGTACCCTCGTTATTGATTTGTTTTCTTTGTGGTTTGGATACTGGGGTTTTCACCACCAAGTCCTCTGGGGTTGGAGTGGGTCTGTTCTCCAGGGCTCTAGGGCTGGGCACCCTGCACCTGAGCAGGGCAGGCATCTGCCCAGTGGGTTCCCCTTCCAGCACAGCCTCCCTCACACCCGCTGGTGCAATCTCAGTCATCAAGTTATGCAGTTAGCAAGGGGCTTTACCAACAAACGTGAAACTATGTCCATTTAGGTCTGCGATATGTCAGTCAGTTGCAAAAAATAACATATATATATATATATATAATATATATTACTGTCCTGTGAAAAAATAGCTTTGGTTTATTGCTGTGCAAGACAGACCATTACGTTAAAAATAAATCTTCAGAACATAGTGCATCTAAACACAAATGGTTTATTACTGGCTTTTTTATTTATACTAGTCATGGGATATTCAACTACTGACATGGGAACAGCAAAACATAGTTTCCAACTCTGGTTTGGACAGCAATACAGCAAGCAGCAGTGATGAGAATTTAGCTTGAAGGCCATAGAGCATAGACTTAAACCCTAATATAGCTCCCCAAGACCAAAACCAGTGATCAGGATGCCACTGATGGCAGGCAGTGAAAACGCACTGTTGCTGGTGTTTTCATTAATACTCCATCTTTGTCTGATCTGAAGGTATAAGCAGAGACACCTTTCTTCGTGACGCTGCTGTTGGTTGCATTTCATCACTGGGGCCCTTGATCAGGCAGGCCGGCCCCGCATGCTGCTTCCACAGGGCTCACTTTAAATGAATAATCACATGTAAATTAACAACAGTGGTGAGAACTCAAGCATGTGCTTCTCTGTTCTACCTAAAAGGAAAAGAAAGCTGCCAATAAGTTAATTTTATTTACTGTTGAAGGATACCAGAGTACCTCTTACACCAATTTTAGCAGCCCTATGCAATCCGAATTGAGTACCAGGCATGTTCCCTTTTAATGTTTGTCTGTATCTAAAAACTTCACTTGCCATCTTTCAGTTCTAAAGCATGAATGAAGTTGTGATGTCTGGTCCAAAGCCCATGCAAAGAGTATTTGGAATATTCCTGTATTTCTCTCTAGAACGAATATATATTCCTCCTATAAAGCTGGAGGTTTTATGAATACAGCTCATACTCACTGGAAGGTGAAAATACAGAAAAGGAATGGTCTTAATAGGATCTGCTTCACTCAACATTCATTCCACTGCATCAGTTATATGAGGAAAGTAAAACTACAGCCTTTGCACTTCAGAAACAGCCAATTTTTCTAATACTGTGCTGCCACTTTAGCCAGCAAATAGTCAAATAGTATGCCTGCAGGATGTGGTGGTCAATGACTGATTACATTTGATGTGTATTTGAAGGTTAAAGTGATTAACAATGAGAAATACTTTCATTTTTTTCAATATAAAAAGTTTAAAACTGGCCTCAGTTCTTGAGGGGATGAGAGGAAAGAGCTCTGTTTTACCCCTGCATGGTCCACTGCAGCACTAGCAGTTCAGGAAAGCAGTGAGTGGGCTCTGGAGCTAATTTGTGCTTTTCTCTTACTATTTTCCTTGGCCATTAGGAAAAGCCAGTGCCCAGATGGAGACTGGGAAGCACTTCCCACTTCAGCCCCTCTCTGCCATTATCAATAGGAAGAACGTTTTCCTGATAAATATTTAGAGATATATGTATATATATCCACACACACATACACACCCCATATATCTGGTTTGCTTCCCATTCCCTTCTATTTTTTTCCAGGCACAACCTGCTTGATCGCACTGTTGTCAGATAAAGAACTCACAGTGGCCAATGTTGGAGATTCGCGAGGAGTCCTGTGTGACAAGGATGGGAATGCTATTCCCTTGTCACACGATCACAAGCCCTACCAGCTAAAAGAGAGGAAGAGGATTAAAAGAGCTGGTGAGTCATAACTGTTTTGCTTTGGATTGAAGGTTCTCTACTCTGTCAGTAAACACAGACTTCCCTGAGAGAGACTGAAAAGTACCAGACTGGGGCATCAGCAGATGAAATCCGACCTAGATGATGTTTCAGGTCCGTTCCAACCCAAACCATTCCATGGTGCCAGAGAAAGAAGAGCAGCCTTCATCTTCAACAGCCAGTTGACCATCCCAGCCACTTCCCTTGTGATCTCTGTAGGGAGCAAATTAATAAACAGCAGCAGCAGCATCACAGGCTTCTTGGCGCCAAACCGTATCAGCAGCCTTTATGCGAGAGGCTGGGTCTGAAGCTGAGTCAGGTTTAGTTCCTCAGTTCCTCAAGCAGAGCATGAATCTAATTCATCAAAGCTATTTTTTGTTCCCATACAGTGGCTGCTAATGAGCACAAACATGTAAATTGTAGCAGGAGTGTAGGAAAAGAACACAACAAACAAATCCTTCTGCAGTAGATCTTTCTTGCTTTCATCACCTGTCAGTGTAGCCACCTCCTGGGTGAAAAGTTACATTTGGACCATCAAGTTTAATAGCCAATTCTCCATTAATTTGTCAATGTCTCTTTTGAACCCATTTCTGGTTTGGCTCCCACGGCAGCCTGCAGCATCAAATTGTTTGGTGAAGAAAAGAGGTTCCTCTCATTTGTGTTAAACCTGCCAATGAGCACTGCCTCCAGAGAGGCATTGCCTCACTGCCTGCCAGGTCATCATCTGTAGCAAATAGCAACTATTTCCCTAAGTATAAACCCATTCTAAAACCGACATGTTATGCACATGCTCACACCAGCATAAACACCCGTGTATGTGCAATGTGTACTCTCCTGTTTGCTTTTGTTAGTAAGGAGGTATAATGAGGATCCTTGCTGCTGATAGACAGAGAACTGAGGTCACGTATGTTCCCCAGAGAGAGCTCTGAAGACCCTAAGAAAAAGGAATAGGAAAGTCTTGGTCTCACTTTGCTTCAGCTTTGCACTTGGGGGATATATTAATAAAATCTGGAGATTTGCCTGTAGAAGTGCTTCTCTATTAGCCAAGCCCAGGTCCTCTGTGCAACTGTTCAGTTAGAGCAGACTTCACTTAGGAGAAAAAAATAATTGTATTATTTCATTTGTCTAGGATTGAGGCTTTATAACACAACAACATGTAAAATTAACCTGGGTTTTTGCAGGAATCTCCAACTGGGGAAAAAAGTTGTTTTAATAGACAGATAAATGTTGTGAGTACCTGCAGGTAAACAAGAAAACAAGAAAAAATCTATCTAGCCTCATGACTGAATGAATTTTCTTCTCTGTTCCCTATTGCAACATTATATCATCATTATTAGTATGGCCTCATAGTGCTTAAAAACACACAATCCAGTTTAAACTCCTCCTGGATACTTTAGGTTGCCTACATTGCTACTGTGACAAGTACTTGACTTTTCCACCATCTGGATAATTTCTTGTCCTGTAGAACTCAAGAAAGGGACAATAACCACAGCATTATGTTACATTTTGGTTTTCCAGCATTACATTGCACCATCAAGGTGCACTGCCCAGTGCACTGTAGGTAGTTACAAAGTGACTTCATATTTGTGTTAGAAGGATTCGATTTAATTTAAAAGTGAAATTATACAGCTGTGGCTGAGAAAATGTCCTTCTTAACCACATTCTGATATAAATCAGCTTGAAGCAGCCTGAAACAGCAGCTCAAAGAAAAGCCTGACTTGCCCTCTGAGCATCAGTGGGGTGTTAACATGGGGATGACAACTCTAACCTAATCCATCACTTTTGGCTGCTGTGGTGGATGTTGAGGGGCCTTGCTGCTTGCTGCTGTCAGTGGGCAGTGGATGGGAGTGAATTTGTTCCCTCTCCTTTCCCCATTCCCAGCAACTGTGCACAAAGTCTTGGTCAACCCACAACCAGAAAAAGAAATGCCCTTTTATCAGTCTTGTGGGACTTGAGCAGCCCCAGAAGCCACTGCTCAGGTTTCTCATGGGGGTTCCGCGTTGCAGTGAGAGGCCACTGGTACCAAAGCTCACAGCCAGATGCCAAAAGGAAAGTCATCAGCTAAGAGCACAGGGCAGGGCCCTCCATTTTGTGCCGGGGTGCCACATCATGTGGAGTTGCTGGCTCTGCAGTGTGGCAGTGCAGTTCACAGCACCCACCAGTCATGGGGTTTTGTCAAGCCTGGCTGTTGTTTTCACAAGAGGCTGGCTGATGCATGCTCGAGGGTGCTGTGGTGCTGATCATCTCGCAGCTGAAGGAGACCAGGCTCCTTCCACTCTGACCTGTTCCCGTGGGAAGGGGAAATGTGTGTCCTGCGATACAAGGATATTGGTTTCCCCAGAAAACACAAGGAAACTCCTCCTTATCGTGAGCTTGAGCAATGTATATAGTACCGGTGTAAGACAGCAGCCTTGAAACAGCCATGGTTTTGGCTTGTGGAGAAACAGTTGTAGAAACACAAGGTGACAGTCACTGATAGAAATTGAAGTCATTCACCTTGACCTCTGAGCTCAGTTCTCACTAACATGCAAAATGTTTGAGTGATCGCCAAAAAGCTTCTATTTCTTTAATGTCTTTCCTTCTCCAGTGTCAGCCAGCACCGCAGAATGTTTACATTTCCAGAAGCATTTTTAGATATCCTGTATAGGTGACTTTATGAAAGGAAATATTAGAAGTGCCAATAGACACTTCAGCGAACCACAGGCGCTCAACTTGTGCTGCAGGCAGTTCCAGGTGCCACGTGAGAGTGGCACTGAAAAGTCACTTTGTGCATGTAAGCACAAGCTGCAGAGGCTGCAGTAAGCACACACAGCAAGTGCACAGCATCAGCTACCTCCTCTGCAAGTACCGTGAGAGGTACAGGTGTTGCTATCATATGGAATCGCAGAATGGTTTGGGTTGGAAAGGACCTTAAACACCACCTAGTTACAACCATGAGAGGTACAGGTGTTGCTATCATGTGGAATCACAGAATGGTTTGGGTTGGAAAGGACCTTAAACACCACCTAGTTACAACCCCCTGCCACGGGAAGGGAGATCTTCCACTAGATCAGGTTGCTCAAAGCCCCATCCTACTTGGTCTTGAACACCTCCAGGGATGAGGCTGCCGCGGCTTCTCTGTACAGCCTGTTCCAGCCTCACAACCCTCAGAGGAAAGAATTTCTTCCTGATATCTCATCTAAATCTCTCTTTTGTCAATTTAAAGCCATTCCCCCTTGTCCTATCCCTACATGCCCTTGTAGAAAGTCCATCTCCAGACTTCTTGTTGGCCCCTTTATGCACTGGGAGGCTGCTTTAAGGTCTCCCCAGAGCCTTCACTTCCACAGGCTGACCAAGCCCAGCTCTCTCAGCCTGTCTCCATAGGAGAGGTGCTCCAGGCCTCTGAGCGTCTTTGTGGCCTCCTCTGGACTTGCTCCAACAGCATCCTTCTTATGTTGTGGCCCCAGAGCTGGATGCTTTCTGGGCTGCAAGTGCATACTTGCACTGTCCTCTAATTGTGTCTAAAATGTCTTTATAAAACTGCTTCTTCTTAATTGTATTTTACTTCTCCTGTCATTCTAATACATACACATGATTACATACCAGTTACAATAGTCCTAACCATTTAAGACCAGAAATAAACCCTGGGCTGGTGAGTAGGTGGCAGTGTAACATATAAGCAAGGCACCCTCAAAAGATAGAGCAGCAGCTGGACGAGGTTTGTTTGACTCCGTATCTAAGAGGAGTCGCAGTCAGCTCACAAGTACTTCCTTTTCTTGACTGTGGAATGAAATGCCTTCATAACAGAGACTCCATATTCACGAAAACATCCAGCTAAAAGGTTTTGTTTCTGCTGTTTTTAACACAAATCAAGTTCCAAGCTTTAAAAACAGCAAATCATGACATTTTCACCTGAAAGCAGAAAGAATTTATGGATCAGATGAGCCAAACAGGAATGGAAATGCTCTTGTAAGATTTAGGGGACTGACAAATAGCATGCTGATAACTACAAAGAACAAAGACATTTAAACGAACACCAAAGCAGACAGCTTGCGGATATAAAACATGACAGTTCACCTCATTTTGTCATACATTTTAATGTTCCATGTCGAGTCACTGGATGTCACATATAGCAATATTGCTATGCACAGTGCAGACAGTGGCACGCCAAGGTATGCACGGGAATTGAAGGCGCCTCAATTTTACTCTTGGACCTTGAATACTGTGTCGTTCCCTCCCTGACACAACCCAACTGTGTAGCAACCAGGTGCTGGCTGTGTCAGAGTCACCAATTTCAGTGTAAAATGTGTCTCACTATAATTAACCCCTAAATAAAACCATGTATTTTCAACTAGAAGTAGCCTTAATCACTGTGATGGTAAAGTCAGTCCATCAAATCCCACATGGCCTCCTTCTGTCTTGAAGTAAAATTTTGTGGTTGGTTTGTTCACAAGCTTTTGGTCCTTTTTGACACAGCTCACTCAAGGCAGTTGAACAGAACAGCCTATAAATATTCTTGCACTTGCTTCTTTGCTTTATGGCTTAAAGTGAGATGTGAGTCCTGCTGCAGCGTGTTTTCAGTGTTGTTTCCTTCACAGATCTGAAATGGGAAAAACATGAACTACACAGAAAAAGGATGTTTTTACTGACACATGAATGTAAAGATTTGCTTTCACTATTTTTGTTTTAACACTGCCGTAAGGCTTTCTGTTGTACAGGAATACCTGTGCTCAGTAAGTAGTCAGTCTCTCTTGGGGAGTAGAGAGCACGAAGCTGCTGTGTTTGGAAGCAGAACCTTTCTTGACCTCTCTACTTCAGCTGCGGCAGCAGCAGTAGCAGCAGCCGCAACCCAGCTCCTCCCTGCAGCACTCCAAGATCTACATGAAGGCATCTCCTGCTTTTTGAGATGTGTAACATCCATATGCCTCATAATATGCAGGGTGAATTTTTTGGGTGGGTCTGGCAGGAAGCCAAAGAAATGCTTTAACTTTGAAAAGACCTGCGTTAAGTGTTGGTGTTTCCCTCCAGGTGGTTTTATCAGCTTCAATGGCTCCTGGCGCGTTCAGGGGATCCTGGCCATGTCCCGCTCCTTGGGAGATTACCCTCTGAAGAACCTGAATGTTGTCATTCCCGACCCAGATATTCTTACCTTTGACCTGGACAAACTGCAGCCAGAGTTCATGATCTTGGCGTCGGATGGTCTGTGGGATGCTTTCAGCAATGAGGAAGCTGTCCGATTCATCAAGGAACGCTTGGATGAACCACACTTCGGTGCAAAGAGTATAGTTCTACAGTCCTTTTACAGAGGATGTCCCGATAATATAACAGTGATGGTGGTGAAGTTCAGGAATAGCAGCAAAACAGAGGAACAGTAATTACCAGTCGTTCTCTGCCTCGCTCTGAACTTAAACCAAACTCTTAAATTTTAAACATAGTAGAAAGCTCTAGTAAATACCATTAAGATTCTACACAAAAGGAACAGATCCCTTCGGTCTTTGTTCTTTGCTTAACAAAAGGAGCAATACAACAAATACATTCTGAGTGATTATAAGAATTAAGTTTGTTCACATGTACCTGTCTTCTGTGACCTTGCTGCTCCTGAGAAGCTAACTGTAATCTTCCATTTCAGAATTTTCCTCACAAATCCTTTGTAGACTTTTCCTTTGATCCCTTTCCTCTCATTTCTAGCAGTCAGAGGTTCATTTAGACACACAGCCAGGTCAGGGCTGTGCTGTCATTTAACAGCAAATGATAGGAGTGATGCTACTCTTCACTCATAGGTGGGACGCCTCAGAACGACGGTGTCATGTTTCTCATCTCTTTTCTTTTTTAATCTGCAGTCATAAGGTTGTATAGGAAAAGGTTTGTGATTATTGGCCTGGTATTGATGTGAAAGAGGAAAAGGAGCCAAATATTAGCCAGCTACCACAGAACTGGCTCTCTTGCTTTGTTTAACCTCACCCTTCCCTTAAATAAATCCCCACCAAGCATGTGATTAGGTGTAGCTACTGAATTACCTGAAGCCACGTTTATTCAGTCTGTGCATTACTCTGGTAACATTCCTTCTATGCCATATTGTATTCAAACCAGCTAATGTTAAACTTCAGCAAAATACCTTTAAGGTCTGACATCCTCTATATCAAAAAATAGCTCTGCTGTGATAGAAGAATGTTGGTCATTCCTGGAAACTCATGTTATTTTTTTGGCATGGACTTTTCATAGGCATGTAAAGAAAGTAATGCAAGGTAAAATTCACTTTGTTAGTGACTGTTTGGAAAACTAATGAAAATAGGGCATTCCTGAGAGTGACCTAGGTGGAAGTCAGGGCTATTAATGACTTCTTTGTACCACTGCAGATTAATCAGTGGTGCTAATTCAGGGGAAAACCATCGTAGAACCGTTGTTCGGTATGGCATATAAATGCCAAGCAGTGGCCTTGCACTGAAGAGATAAAAGCTTGTGTTAGGTCTAGATAAAACTGTGTTTAGATCTAACTTTCAGTATTTAATTGTATTTTGGAATCTGTGACTACTGTAAGTTTAAACAATGAGTGTCAAGAGTTTGCTCTACATCTGGTAACTTAGTTGCCTGCTTCATGACCGAGAGGCAGTGGTGGCAGAGTGGCAGGGCAGTTGTGTGCTGAGGAACAGCCACGGCCTGAGGTGGAGGCGAGTGTCTCAGATGCCTGCTTTACTGGTATTGTGTTCTATAATAACCCGGGGGATTCCCTCCCTGCAAAATGTTGTCCTGGACAATCTGCTGGTCTCTTGTCTTCAAGGTGATGGAGGCTGTTGGTATTTGCATCCTGAGAGGAATCAGGGATGTAATGCATTAACTAACATCATCTGTTCCTTGGGTAAAGATATAACATGACTTGGTTAAACAGACACCTGTTTCTCATCACCCGCCCACAGGATTTTTGGGCAAATGGCTTGCTGGTCCCCAGAATACCATGATGTGTTGTGGTTGTGCTGAGCAGGTGTGTATCTCAAGACAGAAATGAAAGAGGACAAATTTCTGCATGAGCAGGAATTCCCATCTTAGTCTTTTAATTTTTGTTCCTAGGTTATCTCTTCCCCAGGAAACTTCCCTCCTTTCATTTGTTTGGAGAGTTATCACAACTCTTAGTCAGATCTATAGCTACTACCAGTGCTGTTCAAATTGTATCGTATCCTCTGGCAGCCTCTTCTCACCTCAGACTCTGGGCAGAGCCCCTTGACTCCAAGTAACAGACAAGTGAAAAGCAGAAGTGTGAAAGTGTCCAGCATCCTCCAAAACCGGCAGGCCCCAGCCTGCACCGCTCCTTCCCTGGAGGACGAAGGCTGCGGACTTCTTAAATCTCTTGAACAGTGCATTCGGGGAATTTTAAATGCAACTTTGAGGTTAAATTGAGCAGCTAACGGGAAATGTTAATAATGACAGCGCGCTTCAGTTATTTTATTTTGAAAAGGTATTTGAGGTCAGAACGCTGTGAAATTAAATCCTTGTGTGATATTTTCATGGGAGTGCTTAATCATGTACTCAGTAATGCTACAGCAGCAGTATCGAAACTGTTCCGGGCAGAGCTCATGGTGCGTATTTGCGTTTGCCTTTCCTTTCTCCTTCACAGACGATGTTTCTGTTGTACTGGCTTTTCTCTGGAGGACACCGCTGGACGCTTGTCAAAACAGCTGCCCAGGGAACAGAAGATTCAGACCCAGCAGCCTACAGAACCCTAAAGCAGAGGAATGCTTGTGTAGCAGGGACATCACCGCTAATCCATCGCAGGCATTTGAGAAGTTGGAACTGGGACAATGGTCAGCTCCAAAAAAACATAGTAGACTAACACCACTGAACAAAAGGCTCGCAGCTGCCACTCAGCCTCCTGCAGCTCATGTGCTTGAGGTTAGTGAGTGCTGCTGAGAGATGCTGACCTGCCCTGGAGCACAGCTCACTGCCTGGTTGCTTCGGCACTCAAGATACACAGAATGAGGTGTCAGGAATCCTGCATGTTCACAGGCTCCCAAAGAACTGTGGGGAAGCAGTGGGAGGGTGGCTTGCTCTGGAAGTAAGCCATGCTCATGGGATTTAGGAAAACACAGCACAGTGCACTACAGAACTGTTTTGCAGACTCATCTGAATATTTATTCCAGATTCATTCACCCTGTCATTCATAGGCCCATCCAGTCAGTTACCCCATCAGCCCTATTTCAGCCTTCCAGCATCTACAGTTGCAGCAACAGCTGTTTTAGCACCTTCAGTTTTTTCTGCAACACTCCCACCTTTCTAATAACTCTTTCGTGGCCAAAGACATTCATGCCAATGATTTCTGGTAAAGATGCTTTTGGTTTTGTTATTTAAAAAGATTAGCTAAAGCTACTTCAGGTTTAAAGATGAAGGTTTAGCAGAGATGAGAGGCTTGTGCAGGCTTCCACATACACGCGCAGTGCCTACGTATGCTCCCTGCTAGAAGTTTTTACTCCAGACCTAGACACTGGTATCTTTCCAGTCATGCTGATTTGTGCCAAATCCTGTTGTGATAAATGCAACTGTTGGACAATGAGATTAATTAATGTATGTATTGCTTATGCAGCCTAAACAATATGGGGGCTGATCCTCCACTGCCTTAATCTGTACCCTACATCCGGAAGGGTAACCAGACACTGTAGCCAGAAACACCCCAAGTACGCTCAAGTAGTATGTCAGAATGTGCTGCAGCATCAGAGAGGGAGCACTTTCAGCACACCATTCTCCAGGCTGCTTTCCTGCCTGGGCACCTCTCCAGAAAAAGGGAGAGACATTTTGGTTAAAGCAGCTTGTACCCATCTGAGAGCTCCCTCTTGCTGTACATGCTCATGGGTGGGTTTTGTTGCTTTAAGCCTGAGTAGCCCCATTGGTGACATCTGTTCAGCAAGTAAGAGTATCACATAGCAGAAAACTGCTGGATTAAGTTGCTGCCAAAGAGCATCTTTCATATGGTTCAATATGAAAAAGTGCACCTTGTAATTAGTCATCTGATCCACTACTTGAAAGAAGTTGAGCTTTGCCCAGTGATACTGCAGTTTAACTTACGTAGTACATTTTAAAGCTACCACCGTTTCGCTTCTCCTCCTGGTTACAGACTACCATTGAGTGTATCGTTCTTGCCATATACCAGTGGGTTTTTTGAAAGGCTGTTCATCCATAGGACCTTCCATGTAACCTTCACCCTGCGCAGCTCCTGGTACCATCGCGGGGATCCCAGGTTTCGGGGATCCCTCGTTATGTGAGACCGTAGCTCCGTCTAGTGGCTGGCCTGAGCATGGTAACCAAGCAGCGGGCCTCAGAAGTTGCTGTCTTAGTCGCTGTGAAAAATGTGAAGACCCTACGGGCCTTTGCACAGAAGTTTGCTGTGAGGTTGATGCAGAGCCGCTATCTCAGCCTGGATTCTACAGCAGTGCTGAAGCAGTGCAGGCTGTGCAAGTGCATCCACAGGCTAAGTATCAGCTAAGAAACGCAGATACTCAGCTACTAAGAAGCTGGGACACCTCTCAGTCCTACCCTGTGTCCTCAGCCAGCTCACCCACCGGCATGGCTGCCTTCACATCGTTGAATGCATTTTTTGTGGGATCTAAACCTTTGGCATCAGTGCAGCTTACACAGACCATAGCAATCAAGCTTAGGGGAGGCCAGAATACATCCCTAGCCCCAGGGTGGCAGGAGATGCTATTTCATTTCATATGAAACATAATGCTGTGTCTTCTGTCACAACATCCAGTACTAGTGGTCTGAGCACACTGATCCTGTCTCACAGGGGAGGGGTGGTCACAGAAGACGCTGTGAGGACTGCTGTGGTCCTACAGTTTCTTAAAATGCAGAATTTGAAATGAATGAGCCCGTTTTGCTGAGCAGAATGTTTTGATTATAAAGCAAATTCCATCCAGCAGCAGGTATTGCCTACTAACTTGTGAACATAAGGTCAGTACCAAACCACTGCTAAGATCATTACAGTATTATGCCATTTACATAAGGTAAAATTTAAAAATAAATAGTCGTGAAGCATTTGGAATGCAGAAGTTAGTACTAAAGCACTGCATCAGCTTGAACCAACAGGGTTTCCTGTGTAAACACTAATGCTGGACTTGAAAATAAGGAAGTTATGTTGCTCAGCTGCCCTCAGAGTATGTAACATGTTTGCCTCAAATAACAGTAATATATCGATAGTATCAGATACTTTACACAGAGAAACATCTAGCAAGTGATTATACAAAAGAATAAACCCCCTCACCAGCCTTTCGCTTCCCAAAGCAGGTTTTTACGCCTCCAGCCTGAAACCTGGCTGTATGAAATTGTGAGGTTAAAATGTAGAACGTTCGACTGAAGCCTGGCAACTGCAAAGACCAGAGCTGCTGCCCCTCAGTGTTGTCAGTATAAGTCACCTTTCTAAACCCACAGACCTGTACCTGAAAAGATATATGCAATTAAGTTAATACTGAGTTGGAGATTAAATCACTTTTCTTTATATAGTGCTGACCATATAAGGCTTGGGTAGCAGCTGTTTTACTTACGGTTTCCCTTAGGTAACCGAAAGTTCTCGGTATCAGCTGTCTCTAGTTACAGAAGATGAGTTAGATGCTCTGTTATTCACGATGTGTGCAGTCAAAGCAGCTGAAGCCTTTCCAGACCTGTAAATAGTGGTTCATATCAAGAGCAATTCTTGAGTAAAGTTTTGAAACCCAGGTTCAGGAGCAGGTCAGCTCCTGGGTTTGGTCTTGTCTGCTCAGGCTCAAGGAAAACACTAAATTAGCTGAGCAATAAATAAAGTGCACTTTTTCTGTATTTAAATGGCCAACCTTTTGTTCTCTTAAATGTCCTGTGGAGACGCATCCGTACTTCTAGGGACACACATGCTCAGAACTCTACTCCAGCCCACATTCCACCACATTAATTAAATGAATAATTGGTTATGTTTCAGAAATCTAAACGCAGGGCTGTCAAACATTGCTCCCCAGCAATTCATACACCATATGCAGGGGTGTGAGAACAATACAGATTAAACTGTGCTTATCTGTGCTTGCTTTCATCTTAGTAGCACTAAGAGTCACAGGAAGAGTTTGGGAAGAGTTCTTTGAAGGTAGTTCCAATCCATACTGAATCTCTCTGCTGTTCTCTGGTGCATCGCTCCTAGGTACATAAGTTCAGTACAAACCGTAAGCAGTGCTTAGCTGTGCTGGATTTACAAGTACAATCAATTTTTATAAAGTTCAAACCCATTTACCTTTAACATGGCAAACTGTAACAATGGTGTAACCATTAAGTACAAAGTGAACAGGAGCAGGGTCTGCAAAACCTTTAAAACCCAGACTGTGTGGATACACCAAGCGACTGTAAACCCACTTCTACCCAGCACACCTGGAAATGCTCCCTCAGAAATGACTGAGATGGATGCATTAGGAAAATGAACCACACATTCAGAATTCTAAAAGGGCAGGTCAGAGCTTTACTAACAAAAATCCTACACAACACCCAAGATAACAAAACTGCAACATTTAGGCTTCCATCTTGGTGAAGGACAGCTTCCATTCAGTGCAACAGGGCTGCGTTATCAAAGGTTAAGAGCCTTTTCAGGCTGATTTGTAACATTTATTCACTCCAAGCCAGACCTGTGTTTAAGATCTTATCTGTATTGCCAGCTCACGGCAGAGTGCACTTTACTCCTAGGTGGAGGACTGCTACAGGCCCAGCATGGCTGAGAGGAGTGGCAGGGTACTGGGCTGAGCCCCAGCCCAGCCCAACCAGATGGATGTGATGCCCACATGCCGGCCTCTCTAAACCTCATGCAGGTCACTCATATCAGTGTGGTCTGGAAAACTAACATGCTGCACAGCAACTGTCAGAAGACTGGCATCAGGCAGAGCTCAGATACATGAACCATCTCAAGAGAGGGTGCTGGGAGTAAATGTTCTATTTTTAAGACCTTATTTTATAGAAGGAAAACTAAGTCACAACATCCCGTAAGGGCAGGTAAGGCAAACTGTACTACAGGTAGTATTTCCTCCTGCGAGCTGCAGGTCAATACTACCTTTATCTAAGAATCACACAGAGCATTTCAGAGAGAGACTACGTATTCTTTAGTCCTGTGAAGTGACGGGGCTTTAGGAGTTTTAGAAACCCAATATATAAGTGGAGTGGGGTAGGTCTGGTTTTGTTTTACAGTTTCAGGTTTCTTCAAAATACGAACTCAACTATACATGAAAACCAAACCCAACCACCTGCTTAGCTTCATTTTAACGTCTTCCTTCCTGCCCGGAGCACTTGCACTTGGTTGTGGTTTGCAGCTTAAGAGAATCACAGAATAGTTAGGGTTGGAAAGGACCTTAAGATCATCTAGTTCCAACCCCCATGCCACGGGCAGGGACACCTCACACTAAACCATGTCACCCAAGGCTCTGTCCAACCTGGCTTGAAAACCGCCAGGGATGGAACATTCACAACTTCCTTGGGCAACCCATTCCAGTGCCTCACCACCCTCACAGTAAAGAACTTCCTCCTTATATCCAATCTAAAATATACAGTACAGTACATCTAATAGAGTACAGTACATCTAGTATAGTACAGTAATCTAATACACAGTATCTGCATTAAAACCTGATGACCTTAATTTAACAGAGAGTGCAGAAAGCTTTGCCCTACCACCTCTGTCTTAGGCAAACTGTAAAGTCCATAATAAATGTAGGCATTACTCACTACTGCAGAGCAAAGCTCTGCCTCCCAAACTCCTTCAATATATCTAACATAACTGATAGATCAGGAATTCAGTGTCACGTCATTCAGTTAACCTTTATCAGTTTTTAGTTTAAATTCAAAAGAAATACAATAAATTTACATTCTTGATTGTGCATCCAGGCATTTGTGAGGTCTTTGCAATGAACTGTCACTGAAATGCTTTACTAGTAACTAGAAAAGGTGAGACAAACCTTAGAAATATATTCCAATCTGTCATGTTCTGCTGATACTGATCATAGATAATAACACCCCGAAGTTTGCAGCACATGCTGTCTCACTGGTGATTTTGAACTTGTTTGTTCCAGAATGCACACAAAACATTTAAGCATTTGACTTTCTAACTCTTCTGGAATAGAGAAGTACAAGAAGCACAGGCTTGAAATTTTACATTTTAAACCCCTTCTCTGATCCAGCCAGCAGCAGTTCCAAGCATTTTGACCAATAGATTGTCATTAAGTTTTTCCAGTCGGAAAGCCCCATGCTTTTCCTTATCAAAGTCACAACTGCTTGGAATTCTGCTTTAATACAGCTTTCTGAACCACTTGCCTGCATGAGAAAAAGAATCTGAGTATTTGGAGAACTCATAGCCTGTGGTTTAGGCTTCAGTTTTAGTACAATATTGTAGGCAAACGCAATAAAATTTGGGCCCACCACTGACTTCAATGCTTGTATTACTTCACATTCTTAAGCTTTTTTTACCTTTTGCGTGGCTGCTCACACTAGAAACTTCCCTGATATTTGCTTTAAACAGAAACATTAGAGCTTAGTTGTGAATTTTTACAGTCTTTTAAGCAATAATAAGGTCAGACTCAAATACAAGCCAGATTTGGAAATGAAAATATTTAAAAAAAACCAAAACAAGAGCAGGAATATTTTACACCGTACATTTCTTGCAGAATTGATGTCACTTTACATGATAATTTCAGGTGGCATAAACAGGTCACTGTGTATGAGCAAAACCCCTGTAATCTATGACTGGCATTATCATTGTGAGGCACAAATACTAAAAATTACCTTGCTTGGCATCTTGGTGATGGCTGTGTTTTGCCCACAGCCACCTCTCTGTGACTGTGGGTTCTGGGTCTCTCGGCGGGAGCACTGGCTGCTTCAGCCAGCCAGCTTCTGAAGACTGCAGTGTCTCTCATAATTACATTTTTTATTTTCTTTTGAAAAAGCAATACAAACTGTGTGGTAGCATCGGTGTTCTTGTGACAAATAACTGATTTCTTAACATTTAACATGGAAGGCCTATAACAAAAAAAAAAAAGCAGGTTGATTTTCCTTAAGATGTATAAACAATCAAAGAACAAGTGAAAGATTTCTCACGGAGCTCTCGGGATCTGATCACAGTACAACAATCAAAGAAAAGATCCTAAACCTGCAGGAACAGCTGTGGTTTTACCTCTGTTTTGAGAAACAGAAGAGCATTCTTCCCTCCATTATGCAATACTGTATCTTCAGCTATTTAGTTTAACAAAAAAAAATACCTATTTTTTGAAAAGTGTTGACCTACTTAACATACATTCTTAAAACAGTGACATCTGAAATACTTGTTTAGAGAGTATGGTCCCCAAGACCTCATTTTTGTATCTAAAAAATATAACACTTCCCGTAATTCCACCAAAAGCCCATGTGCAGTAGATGATAAGGTAGCAAAATTCAATACTGACCATAATCAGAATGTAACAAAAAAACTGGTAAAACCTCCAACTTGGTACTAGAGGTTTCTGTACCTCTTCTAATTTGTCTCTAAGAGACTATCTGAAAGACAGCCAAATGTAAATACACGGTACCATCCTAGCTGTAGGACAAACAAGGTGGCAGTGCTCTGTCATTCTAGGTGTACAGGATGCAACTATAGTATCTTCACTGTGTAGTGGATGTGTCAAAAATAATTATGTTAATGCAGTTGCAAATTCTGTAGTGTTGTCTATTAGAAGTGTAAACTACTGAAAACTTGGCCTTGCTGAGATGAATAAAGTGATTAAAATACCTGTCTTTACAGATACAGTAGTTTGTCTTCTTTATGAAATACAAATCTTAGCATTTCTTATCTTTTTAATTTTAAAATTTGAAGAAAGCTCTTTTTAGAGAGAGATGGTTCTAAAAAATGTCACAATATAAATGATGATATTTGAATCTTCCTGATGTGGTTCGAAAACTCCCATGCAGAAGTACACACATGTAGGTGTGTACATACGTGAGGTTTGATTATCCTGATGTATTAGAGATGTCTAGTAACTAAACTGCATGTGAACTCCACTGCATCTAGCCCTCTAGTAGGCTACAAACATTACTGATGACACCAAGGTAATTCTGTTTCATCCATCTATAGGCACACACACACAGAGTGCATCCCATTCCCAGAATTTCCCATCAGTTTCTGCAGACCCCACAAGGTCCACAGGCTTGTAACACTCCCAGAGCAATTTCAGATGTGATACATTTAAATAAGAAGGTGTAAACTCTTGGGACAACTACAGTGGTGATATAGCGAAAGAAAAAGGGCAGCAGAAGCTTCATAATGAACACAGAACAAATACTTGAAAGTGGCAAAGGATGATGTACTTGTACAGCCAATTAAAGCAATCCAGGCAGGAATCTGGGAAGCATCTCCAAACCCAGTTTCTTAGCATAAGCATTATTCCTTGGTGACATTTCATATACTCCAGATGATTCAGGTAGAACCCCTGTAGCTATAGCTGATCACATGGAGAAGCACCAGAGGAAGTTAGGGTGGTATATTCCAAAGTATCCTGCATGCACAGGGTATGTACATGGAAAAGCGCTTTGTGAATTCCTAACTTTATTTCACAGTAGCAGAAAGTCATAGAGAAATGCTGTCACTGCACTCTGCCCCAGCAGCGCAGCCCTCCTTCAGTTGAAGCCATCTCTGCAGCTGTGGTTTTGTTCGCTGTTGCCCTGGACCTTTTCACATTAAATACATTTCACTTTATGTGTTCACACAGAATCAAAGACAAATAACTGAAATGTTTGATGACAAATCCTGCCAAAACCTGATTATTTCACTTGATGTAATGCCATGTACTGCAATCAAATGCCTATACTTACAGATGTCAAAATTAATTTTATAAAGAAAGAATTGTTGGTTATCTTCCGGAATACTGATGTTCACATTAAGCAGATTTAAGCAAATTCCAACATAAACATCCTCAAATTTAATAGGTTTGATATGACTCATCAATTCATAAATTCTCAGGGCCAGTTTTCCATCTAGGATATAGCCCATCCCACTGCAATACGGAGGGTACAACCTGAATGGATATTCATCATACGAGATGTATGTTTTTTGGTAAGAGCCTCTGTAGGCAAAGTTATCAATGAGAGGATAACCAGTAAAAATATTTTCTGACGAATTTAGCTTCAGAAGAAATTTTATCAAGTTAGCAGTGTTGATGAAGACATCAGTATCGGTCTTCATGAGGAACCTAGTGTTTGAACAGAACTCAGTGACCCACCGAAATGCCATGATTGTTTTCAAGGTAAGATTGTTGTAAGTGTCCATAAAATCCTGGCGAATTATGTCACCATAGAGGATGCTCTCGTCTTCTACTGACAGGGCTGCAGCATTGTTTTCTCTTTGAGAATCTTGACCTAGTAAGAACAGGGTTAGAATTCGATGTCCCCACCAGAAGCTTTGAGACCCCCATGTCATCCTGATGGCCTGCCTTGACGTCACGTCCTCAGGACGTGAAGACACCAAGATGACCAGAAATGGATTTATGTCTTTGCATTTCAAGCGCTCCCGCAACGTGAAGAGGTAATGTTGCTTGTAAACTGGTTCATATTCATAGAAATACATGAGGTTTGTATGCTTAATCACAGTGTTGGAAGAAAAAGCCACGTACCACATTGCTGTGACAGAAAATACAACAAGAAACAAAAAAATCCATTTTAATGGTCTCATGTACACAACACTCACTGGATCTGAGCAACAACCGGTTTGCAGAAGTGCGTCAGTGACCTTCAAAATCCGTACCACGAGTCCTGAGACACGTTTCTTGCTGAAAAAGAAATTGAAAAGTAGTCTTCAGAATGCTATTATTCAAATATTATCTTTTTCTTATCTTGTCAAGTGTCAGTTGAGCATATGCTGTAATATAATGAAGACAAGTACCAGACCCGTTGGTCCAGCTGTTACATATGGCACCCTGCATAACAGGAACTGCTACTGTATTTGAGAAATGAGTATAAGCAGAGCACTGAGCAACTCCTGAGCACAACGTGGACCGAGATCTCATGACTTTCATCCTGGAAATTCCCCCTACGTAAATCTGATCACACAGCAAGCACTGTGACCTCAGATATCTCAGCACAATCTCTTTGACTCAATTAAATCTCGAGGGACGAATACCCTGAACAAAACCCAACTGCTACAAAGTGCTCAGCAAGTTCATGTTCAGAGGCTTCAAAAAACTGTGATTTATTTTAAAGCAAGGAATTCCTACTGGTTTTGATAAGCTGCAGCAAATTGGCCAAGAAAGCAGGTAAAAAGAGAAGTACAAGCAAATATTTCATCTCTTTTTTAACAGCTGAACATCTACTTGTTCTAAATTGACTGAAGAGGTGATGGAGGAGGAGAAAAATCAGCTTCCTTATGAACAACATCACAGCCACAGACATGCTAACACAAATGTATCTTGACAGACAGCTCTTACACCGCCCAAAGAAATGGCTACTTTCACAACACACAACACTGAACAGCAATCGTTTATTTTCTAATAGGTGCTTATTATTTGGTCGACACGAAACTGAACATGAGCCAACAGTGCGCACTTGCAACCCAGAAAGCCAACTGTATCCTGGGCTGTGTCAAAGGAGGTGGTAGAGGCGTTGGAACTAGATGACCTTAAGGTCCTTTCCAACCTAAACCATTCTATGATTCTAAGAGATTGAGTAAAGGGGCATTGCAACCAACTTTGTCATGGCAGCTTTACATATGGCATAATGGGAGCAGCAGGGAATCCACCGCAGCCCATGAATTTCAAATCTTACAGAAATTTTGTAAATTAATATTTTCCATTTAAACAAACAAGACACTACAAAATCCTACTACTTCCATCTACTTAGGTTTCAAAGAAGAAGAATTCCATCTGCATTATTTTTATGCAAACCCCTACCCATCTGCCGAAAAAACAATGGATTTTCTCAGCTCCATCAGACACACCACACACACCAAAAACCACAGTCGGCACTGGAGACGAAGACAAACCAAAGCCGTTTTTTGACTACAGACACATGTCTTGGTCCAGAGTCTGAACTGCACAGGTAAAAACCCCTGAAGACACTACTACACAGTCAGGATTAGATACACCAATTTGTCTTGCCAAAACTAAATGTAAAAACAGAACTTCAGGCCTGCACCCTCCATTTAGCAGTGCTTACTTTTACTGTACTCCTGAAAACAAAATAATTACAATGTCTTACCATGGGAGTTCCAAATGATTTCTAATGTTTGCAGTAATAATGTTTATCCTGTGCTATAAAGTATCCACAAAGCCACAGTAAGGGTGATGAAGGGTTCAATTTCACAGCACAATTAATTACTATTTAACTTATCTTTACAAAGATCACTGCAGGGCTTTAAAATGTTTTATATTAAAAAAATAAATAAATCCAAACCCCAAGATAGCATGCTAGAATTTAGATAAATTTGATTTGCCAGAGCCCACCTGCCTTGTATTTCTGGGTATGATCTGACTTTAAATGAATGATCCTTTAAAGGAAGCATTTGGAGCACATTTCACTGATGACACAAAGCACATCACTTAAAATTCATTAAAGCAATTTTATGCAAATAGCTATTTAAAGAAAATAATTTCAGACTGATCCCTTTCAAGGCTGAGTTACTTAAGAAATACCAAGTGACAATCAGGAGTCAACCCTGCACTAAAGGTACCTAATATAACCACAGATTAGCACGTTATTAAGAACTTCCTAATGTGACTGATGTCCTACCTTATAAAAACACAAAACCTTAGAGGTTTCATGCTCATTCACTTGTTTTTCTCCATATGGATTAAACATATGCAAGTAAAACAGAAGTTTGATAGTGCAAAAGAAAGTATCATTGAGGCTGTTCAAACTGCATTTAGGGACTTTGATTCTAACTGAATAAAAAACCCTTCAGAGTTGCCAGTCTGGTATTTAATCCCTAGTTTTACGGAAAGAAAAAAGTAATAAAAATGCTGAGTTCTTCTCTCTTTATATATACCAACCTGACTCTCAGTTAACAATATGAAAAACACGTACTCAAAGAAAACAACCTTAGTTTTGTATCAGTACTTAAGTATTTGATTTTATATAAATAACATTTCTCGGGGTTTGATGATCGATTTAAAGTAAATTACATCAAAATTTGATTAGTCCTTGACTACCTAATGAAAAAAAAAATCTGATTATAAGTATTTTGATTTTTTACTGGCAAAAAAGACTGATTACATGACATTCTGAACAACAGAATCACGACATGAGCTGCTACACAATAAAAAATCTGGGAAAATAAATCATCAATTTTTGTCCTTTGCTCACACTATGCAAGATGGAATCTTAAAAAGTCTGTATCCTTACAAACAGCCACAGGGCATCGAGGACAAGCAGCGTAAAGCGCTGTTTTGCTGTGCGACTCTCGAGGAGGCCAAAGTCCTGTCTCCACAAACCTTGCGGTTCTCTTTCTTAAGGTCTCATTTCTCCAGTGACAGGCTAAACAGTCTGCAAGCTACCACAGGTTCACCAAAATATAGCTTTTAGAATGGTCATGGGGTGGAAACCACACTCCCTAAAACATGAGACAGCTGGTTTTGCAGCGCTGAGAATTCAACATGGAGGCAGCCATCCTCCAGCATCATTAAGTGAGAACTCTACAAACAGAGGCAAAAAGAACAAAAGTGCAAAGCAAAGGAGAAACCCGAGCACAGCCCTCCACAAGGGCTGTGCTCTTCGCTCCCTATTTCAAATGCTTAAACCAAAGCAATGAGTCTGAATACGTAAGGTCTAGAAGCTGCGATTTTGCCTGGAGTTGGCGCAGTTGCAGTCCTTCCAGCCGCTGGGGAACGTGGAAGGTCCTCCAGCACTTCCAGACGCTCTCTGCTGGCAGTTTTTGCCTTTCAGGGATACTCAGCAGGAGCAAAGCAAGGGCAACAACTGCTGCTTTCAGGGAAATATTTTCATTTGCTTCCAAGCTCGCAGCTTGCTGGCCCTACACGGTAAGAGTCTGAGATTATGCTGACAGAGAAAAGTGACCAACATGAAAACTGCAGCTGAGCACATGCGTTAGCAACTCCCGCTGCATGCCGACCCGCCGTCAGGGCCGGCTGTCAATGGCGGGGCTGCCCGGGAGGCCGCGCGCCCCCTCAGCCTTACCGCGCCCCGCCTTGGGGAACGCGATGTCCCCCTCCCGTTCCCCCGCCCGCCGCAGCCGTTACCGTTGCGTCCGGGGCTGCCGCCGCCGCACGGCCGCCAGCCAGGCGGGGCAGGGCATCACTCCTCCCGCCGATAGCGGCTGCGTCTCCTCGCAGCCACGGCGTCGGCTCCGGCTCGGGATGGGCGGCCCCGCTCTGGGTGAGTGGGGGATGTGTGGCCGCGGCAGGCACCGCAGAACGCCCGCCTCCTCTTCCGCCTCCTCGGCGGGGCAGCGGAGCGGGGAGCCGGGAGCCGCGCGGGAAGCCCCTCCTAGGGCCTGAGACCAGCCGCGCCGGGGCGTTCCGGACGAGGCGCCTCGCCTTCCCCGCAGCGAGGCCAGGGGCGGGCCTGCGCTCGCACCCTCAGAAGGGGCGCTCCGACGGCTACCTGCTCTTTACAGACCGTACCCACTGCACAGTCGGCTGTGGGATTGAAGTTTGTAGGTTCCAGGAAAGAAGAGAGGGGCGTTTTCAAATGGAACTTGTTCTCTTGCCTTAGCTACTGCCATTAATCATGCCGAGGGCTCACCCCCAGCTTCCCTAAGTGACTGTATTACATTTTGTCACATTACAAAAGCGTGCAGCCGTGGTGGAATATCCTGCCGGGACAGCCCAGGAACCTACACAGGTTACCGTTAAAGCTGCAGAGTTTACGAAAGGTTTATTGTGCAAAATTTGAGTTTGAATAATCGATGCTAAACCAGCTGTCCCAGTTTTATTACTTTGGGGGTTTTAAACTGAATGTTTAGTCAGACCCTACATAAGCAAGATAGCCTCACCCCGGTAAAGCAAATACACCTTTGGACAAATCAAAGGTAGATTTCTCACTCTTTCAAACGCTCACCTTCAGGTGCAAATAGATACAGAACCTGCAAGCAGGAGGCTGCATCATGCTGCATCATGTGCAGCTGACTACAGCTTGGCTCTGATCTCCTCCTGGTGTACAAACTCCAAAGCAACGCAGGAAATCGATTCTGGGAGTGGCTTTGCATCACAAAATCCCGCTCTGAGCCAGACTCAGGTTTGACTCAGGTACAGTTAAAAACTATGAAGCCGGAGTCTCCAGAAGCAGTTCTGTCCTAGAAGTAAACGTAATTAGCTTATAAAAAAGTCAGATACTGCTTAATCACTTCTTTAAGGCAATCATCTGAGTTAATAACAGTTCCAACCATAAATATGAAATAATAAATATATTTATGCAACTATAAATATCAAATAAATACCAAAATACAGCGGGAGCAAATGTACAGTGCAGAGAACTGAAGCACAGTCCCTCGGAAGCAAGTCATCTATCCTCTCGCTGGCCCAGGAGGGAGGTTTTGCCTTTGATCAAGACAGCTCTGTTTCAAGGAAACATCACGGTGTTTTGCAGGGAATTCTGGTTCCTTTGGCTGCGTTAACAGTGTGTTTCACAGAGTTTCCTATCTCCCCATTTTTTGATTCATCCACATAACATAAAAAGAAACGCATACACTTTCTTCCCTGGCTTAATACATCCTGACCTGCTCCTGAAAAGAACTCTACACATAATCTATCCATGTTATTAAATATGAAGAACTCACAACAGTAAGTATGTCGCAGTAATCTTTTGTTGCCCCTGGTTACTGCTGGTACAACCCTTTCAGCCTCAAGAGAAACTAGATTACAACTTGTCTGTCAAGACTGAGGTTTATTTTATGCAACATGTGTGATAGCTGAGTAACCTGTGTTGTAACTATTGAAATGATTACCCTACCCATGAGCAGCTCATGTGGCCAGGAGACCTTCACATCTTTTTGCTGATTATGTACCTTCTACAGCAAAGACAAATGGTGGTAACTTATACTAATGCAGCTGGGTATGAGGGCAAAACAGTACTGTAGTACTCAGGATGCATCAAGCCAGCCCAGCATAGGTCTGCTGTCAATAACATGGAGGCTCAATATGGATTCAATGACATTAGACTAAATTTCCTATCTCCTCTTTTTTTATTCTTATTTTATTTACTAAGAGGGTGGTGAGACATTGGCACAGCAACTCCGAGATTGCCCAGAGAAGCTGTGGCTGCCCCATCCATGGCAGTGTTCAAGGCCAGGTTGGATGGGGCTTTGAGCAGCCTGGTATAGTGGAAGGTGCTCTGCCCATGGCAGGGAGGTTGGAACTAGACGAGCTTTAAGGTCCCCTGGCCATAGCAGGGAGGCTGGAACTAGATGAGCTTTAAGGTCCCTTCCAACTGAAACCATTCTGTGATTCTATGATTACTATTTAGAATGCAGTCAAAAAAAAATAATAATCTTTTGATCAAGACTGTTGCTTTCCCCCTTTGGTTCCTTTCCTGAGGGAAACCATCTTAGATCAGCAGGCAACAGTGGAATAGAGCACAATGAAGTGAACAGAAACCCTTGATTTCAGGTAGCTGAATCTCAGTAATGACCAGATCTTAAGGTCTCTATTTAGGCTCCATCAGACCGAGTGCATTTAAACTTGTCCATACAAACATAACTTGCCCAGTTTACAACTCCAACAGTGGAATCTAAGACAATTTCAGGGGTGGGCAGGAAGAGCAGCTGGCAGAGTCGAGGCAGACAGGTAGAGCAGAGCAGTTATCAGTGGAATTGTCTTACAGTTTGTTTGAGTCCATGTGCTCATGTAGTCACACATTAGAGACCACCTGAAATTAATTTGCTGCTGGAAGGTGAGATGCATCAATAAATCAGGTTCCTTGTCATTCTGTGGGTTAACAAGTATGGAAAAAACAAAAGATTCTCATTCCTCACTGGCTGTGTTTATATTTCATTTCTTTTTGAGAACAGATGCAGATGTGGACATAAAGGGATTTATCTTTTATCTTTATGTCAGGCTGCACCTAGAATACTGTGTTCAGTTTTGGTCCCCAGTATACAGGAAAGATGAGGACAAGCTGGAGAGGGTCTAGAGAAGGGACGCAAAGATGATCCACAGACTGGAAAGCCGTATGAGGAAAGTCTGAGAGAACTGGGTTTGTTTGGCCTTAAGAAAAGGTGTCTCATGGGAGACCTTAATACCATGTTCCAGTATTGAAAGAGCAGCTACACGGAAGATGGAGACTCCCTTTTTGCAAGGAGTCACATGGAAAAGATGAGGGGCAATGGGCACAAGTTAATCCTGGGGACAGTCCAGTTGGACACAAGAGGAAAATTTTTCACAATGAAAACAGCCATTGGAATAATGTCCCCAGGGAAGTGGTGGATTCCCCAACACTGGACACTCCTAAGATTTGGCTGGACAGGGTGCTGGGACATCTAGTCTAGACCATGCTTTGCCTAGAAAGGTTGGACCAGATGATCTCTGAGGTCCCTTCCAACCTGGGATTCTATGATTCTATGACGCTGGGCTCTCTGGAACAGGGCAGACAGATAGCGGTTCCCTGGCCCTTGGGGTTAGGGATCACAACCAGGCTGCTGCAGGTTCTGTACACAAAATATAATGTCTTAAGTCTCATGGAGGTGCGGTTCACTGTTCAAACACGTTCGAAAACTGCATAACCTTTGTGCTTATGACCAATTGGCACGTTACTCATAGTTGTTCCACCCACACAGGCTTGGAACTGAACAGTACACCTTCATAAATTCTGTTTGCATATTATCAAGTTGATAAAAGCCAGCATGTATTTGTACAGAGCCTTCATTGACTTCTCATAGCGCAAAGCTGCTTCTTCCCCTTCCTGTTCCGCACTCTTTGTGCTTCATCTGATAGAGGAAGAAAGACATCTTACTGAGAAAAACTGGCTTCACAAAAGAGACTGAATTCCAGCTTTAAAGGCTGCTTAGACACGACCGCAGCAGAAATGGGCCTCCAGCACACCAAACACTCCACAGTCAAACAAGCCAATATACCGATGTTAGGACTTGATTCTGCTGGGAAATCTACGCTGTTGTACAAGTTCAAGTCTAACGATGTTTTTCTAACAGTTCCAACAATTGGCTTTAATGTTGATATGATTGAAACTGGGAAGGATATTACATTGACATTTTGGGATGTTGGAGGACAACAGAAAATGAGACAGGCTTGGTGCAATTTCCTGGAAAATGCAGATGGACTGCTGTATGTTGTGGACAGCTCTGATAAGCAACATCTGGAAGAATCAAAGAAAGAATTTGAACTCATTTTAAAGAATGAATTTCTAAAACGGGTACCAGTCATCATGCTAGCTAACAAGCAGGATTTGCCTGGGGCTTTGAACGCTGAGGAAATAACGAGGAGATTCAACATGAAGAAGTACTGCAGTGACAGGAATTGGTATGTGCAGCCCTGTTGTGCCATCACAGGAGAAGGTCTGTCTGAAGCATTCCAAAGGCTAACTGTATTTGTAAAACACTACAGCAGATTAAAGGAGACTTCTGCCATCTCGAAGGAAAGCAAAACACTGTAAGAATTTCTATAATCAAATTAGGATCTGGTGAATGTCAATCAATGTATTTTGTTGGACAGACTAAATCTGAAAATACTGGATTCTGGAGAACTCTTAGAAGTAAATATTTAGAAAGAACTACAACAATATTAAATTCTACTGTTATACCCACAGATGCTTCTGAGATACTACTCGCTGCATTTTATCAGTGATAGTATACTCAAGTTATTCAGTTGAGAAGTGTGGCTGTTGAATGATGAAAAAGGTGGAGCTGAACTTCTGAATTTTAGCATGTGGAAACAAAATGGGTGACCAGTGCTTAGAATGCTTAAATCAAGTAATTTTCTCAAGATGTAAAATAGCCAAGTCATGCTATGATAAATCATGGGGTTTAATAAATGCTCTGTGGATGTATTTCTCATGTAAAAATGTAGTCATTTTAGATCTTAAACTCTTTGTTTCCTACAAATAAACCTATGAATCTGAAATAGTTGTGAGATATTGCATTCTAGAACCAATTGCTCCAAACAGGTTTTAACAGGATCTGCTCCTTGTCGAGTCACAGACCACAATGAGGCACAGTGCTGTCTGTAAGGTGGAGGTTGATGTCCCTCTATTGCAGGTTTCTGTGTACCGATTTCTTTGTTTCTGCACCGTTGCATTGCTGTCCAGTCAGAGCATTGGAAGCTAGTGTTGATCCCCATTGGTTTGGGGTGAGGGATAAAAAGGGGAAGAATGGGGGGGATTGGCTCCTTGATTGAAGCAAGCAGGATCTTGATGGATCCTGTCTTGCCTGTACTAAAGCCACCTGAAATTTTGTTATTGATAAATTTATATTTGATTAAATTTTACAGAAGTGGCACAAAGTTGCTAATAATTACTACACTATGTATAAAAAAAATCCAAATGTAATTTCTGTGCAGATTTCCTGATGGGTAAAGGAGTGAATTGGTATTCTGAATGCCATTAAAGCAATGAAGGATTGATAACCGGAAGACTAATTGAACTGTATCAGCCACAGAAACAGTTTAAGCACTAAGACTGAAAAGTTAATAGTCCCTGATCTTTTAAAAGCAAGAGAAAAGAGACCATCTAATTATTGGTTATACAGCCCCAGAAAATCCAACTCCATTATTTCTGCCTTCTGAGCAATGTCAGCAGACATAGGATGCTCCAGTGGTTAGGATGCTTGCTTAGATAGCTAGATTATCTTTTTTCCCCTATGTCTACCACAGTCTTTAACCATGGGCAAATCATTTAATCACTCTGTGCCTCAGTAGTCCCTTGGCAAAGTGAACGTCCCAGTTGTGCACTCTGAAAAAGCTGTGGTAAGGGTCAGCTGTGAGTCTTTCTCTTGGGGCAAAATTATTATGCCAAATAACTCACGTAAGAAATTTACATTTAGTTCTTACTAATAAACAGGCAGGAATTTCAAGTTATAGAAGGGTGAAGCAGCAAGAAGAGCCCCCAGATGTACCGTGTTGTCTCATGCATATATTATTCAAAGACAAAAAAATCATCAGGTGAATTTGCTGCAATAGTAAACAAGAGGTTTCCCAATAGAAGCTGTTGTGAATACTGGCAGTAATTACCACAGGCTAAAACCTGAGTCATGTTGAGACTACATTTCTAAAAGGAGAGCAAGTATTTAGACTTGTCATTGTCCACTCTGATGATTTAGGCACAATATAAAGTATCATCTTCTATCCCCCCCCAAAATTTAAATGTCTGCAACAATGGGAAAATTAGTTTTCTAAACAAAATGATTCAGTGTTAAAAAAATGTGGCATTTCAGATCAATACATTTATGAACATTTGCACTTGTATGTTACATATTGAATTCTCCCACTAGTTTAATCTAATCATGTGTCTATCATAAATCCTAATCTAGTTCATTGGCCTCGGGATTTCCTCAGGGAGAAACACTCCATGAGAGATTTAATGAGAGTGCACCAGGGTCTCTAATTAGACAAGCAGCAAGTTCTGAGGGGGAAATAAAGTAGTAAAATAGACCAGTTGATCTAGCTAAAAAGGATAATAAGCTTTCAGGCACACAGTCCCTTCTCCAGATTATCAAATTAAATTACATGATACTCACATTGACTTGAAGAGAATATTTCACATTATGATTCAAAATAAATAAATAAACTCTATTCTATTCACTTTACAGAATATCAAGTACTTAAAAATGGATTTTTCTAAGAGCTTGGTCTCCTAAAGAAGTGAAGCCCTGCCTGTTTCATCTGCCCATGGAGACCTCTATCTTTCTGAATAATTTCTGAGCTTTAAATAAATGTCAGTGAAGTTGGACAGAGGCACAGGTTCTCAAGGAAATTATATGCCTGAAAGTTTAATTAAAAAAAGCAGTGATATAGAGAAAAGTGACCATACTGGTGCCCCCATGAAGGCAAGGCTGATAAGATATAAAAGATTAATCCCTGAGGAGATAAATGTTCTGGTTTAGCTGCAAGAGAGCCTACAAGAGGACATAAATCCACACAGCCCAGGCTTAATTAGATCTTCTGCTCCTGGAGCTAGTTGGTTGTCTTCTGTACTGCATAAGTAGTGTACCTGAGGGCTCCTTTAGGAAGAGAAAGTAGAGGATAGAGAATCCACTGCTTAAAATTACCTTTTTGCACCTGGAGTAAAGAATCACTCTGACTACTCAGCATATTTTGGGAAGGTTCCCATCACATGTTGCATGGTGAAATCAATATCAAGGAAGTTACAAAGGCATTTGACAGCTTCATCCTGCTATGGGGAATTTTAGATCTTTTGACTACTTGGCTGAATAATGTAATAAGCAAAATTGTCTGTTTTTCAGAGCATAACAAAGGGGAATCCTACTTGTGCTAAAAACATGATCCACAATATCGTAAGCATAATTTATTCCTGGACAAGCTTTTTTTTTTGCATTATTTAGAACTCATATAGGTTGTTCACTAAAAACAATTTTAGGAGGTTTGAAGGTTTTGAGATGCTTTGAGGTGTAAGAGAATCCAAATATGGAGATTGCTGCTCCCCTTGGCAGTGGAACCAAAGTCTGTGAGTTGAAAAAGTTTGCATGGGATGAATGAAGGGTAGTAAAGGGTTTATGACCTGCCCCCCCCCCCCCCCCCCCCCCTTCCCCCCCCCCAGCTACTTGTAGCTGGTTCATGTTTTGGAACATTTTTCGTTAGCTTTCCTAGTAAATCACACCCAGCTCACCCTGGTGTTTCTGGCATTTTTTTATGGATGCATACTGGCAGTCTTGCGCAACTGTGATGAAGTGTGGAAGCACTACAGCTATATTGTGGCTGAAGTGTGCAAGTCCTCCAGTGTCTGCTAATATTTCTTACACTGAGTTTGCTGTACCTTTTGGTTTCTGCCAAAAGTACAGTCATCCATGAATAAATAAATGGTACGTATCCAAGATTGTGAAACACAAAGGGTAGGGTCTGTGAAACCTGAGGTATGCTGTATCCCCTGCCCTCTCAAGGAGATTATCTCATGCGATGTGTTTGGATGTGACCATTTAAAAGCTGACATATCTGGAGAATGGGGCACTGTCCTTTTGACCACTCATTGATAAGATTACTATGGTACAACATCATCATGAGCTTTCTGAGCTCATCCCATTCCAGTGGGATGAAAAGCCACTTTAAGGGAAGGTGTGGAGCAGCCTAAGAAACCATTGCAAATTTGTAAAGGAACACTCCCTCCTTCTTTGCCTGGGAGAAAATTCTCCCAGTAACTGAATGCTCTGCAGAATCAGAGGGAAGTGTAGTGTATAAGGAATGCAGGATAAGGCTTTTTTAATACCAGATATGTAGAGACGGGTGAGTTACTCAAAAGGTGTCTGTTGCCATCTCCTCATTTGTGACAAGTTAACTGAAACAAAGGAAAGACTTTCATATCTCAAACAAGTTCTAAGCCAAATGCAAGTGAAGACAATACTTTGAAGCACTGTATGCATATTAAACTGCTTAAAGCAGGCTTTCTTCCCAAAGTAAATGACCCATGCTGAGTTCTGTACTGCTACAATTAGACTTCTTCCATTTTTAATTAGCTCAAGTATTTCTATTCAGCACAAGAATTCTGGACATATATCTCATCGGATCATGCAGGCTAGATTATACAAGGCTCTGTAATTTAGGATGTAAACTCTTGAGGGTGGAGGCCCCATTTCCAAAGCACACACTTTACTGCAGGTTTCATTTGCAAATATAAATTCATAAAACAGTAACAAGTCCAAACACATCTTATTTTGAACACATCTAATTTTAACAAAGTGTGTGTTAGCCTGTATTTCAGTTTCTACAAAATTCTGTTCTTTAGCTGGGACAGATGTTTTTTGCTGCTCGTCCACAATGTGTTTGCAATCATCTATCGCTAAGTTGGGCTGCTGTCAGGAAACACCTCCCCTCAGCCTCTATCACCTCTGGGTCCCACTCCCTAGCTATGCATTTATACTTGCAGGTCTCTGCACAGCAGTGATTCCTCACTTCTCTTGTCCTTCCCCAGTTACCAAAATAGTGATACCAGTTTTCCTGGTCTTATTAGCTTGTCATTGAGTGTTCTTGTGCTTACTCTTATGCTCCTTTTTACACTTGGAATTACCTAAACATTTACAAAACCATTTAATTAGTTTCTTCCAGTTTGTTCCTTAAAACATTCCCTTCCCATGATGTATGCAAAAATCCTGACAATAGCTATTAGGGTTTTATGGCAGGGCCCTGGCCCCTCTCTTTTGATGAGTAGTCTCATAATAATTTTATTATTTCCTTCTTTTCACCACATTTATTCATCTGTTCCCATTTAGCCTGAGAATGTGCTTGCTTTGGTGCAAAGATCATAATTTTGTTCTGTGTTTCATATACTGCCTGACTGATGAGAATAGTTTCTAGACCTTATATTACTGCTATAAGGAGCCTGAATCTTGTGGATTATCTGATAAAATAAGTAATTTTGTAAGTTTAAACAAACCATCTAACTCTGAAATTTGAGCCATGTGTATTTTTTCTTTTTAGCAAACTGCAACAACAATGTCATTGATCCAAACAAAGGCTAATCTCCCAAGCACAATTGTGCTTGGCTGTTAAAGTGTAACTGTGCCTTAATCAGTAGTTTTTAGTTACTTTATCTAAGCATGTCCATTAATCACTAAAGAATGCTAGGCTTTCAGCCTTCTCTTAACTGATCCATAATTCTGAAAACTTCTGTTTTGGTTTAGGACTGTTACAGATTCATGTGACAATCCCTCATACCATTTGGATGCAAAACCAAACATAAAGGCATTCTTCAAACAGCCTGGCCCCCTTAATGATACATGAATGTCAGTCTCCTCATCTGCTGGGTCTCACACCCAGACCTTCCTAGTGGCCCCTATCATTGCATGTGTTCATCACCCAGTGCAATGGCTTTTGTGTAAATTCACATTTTCTCTTTGCTGAGGATTTACAATGCAAGGTTCAATATACCTAAAATGCATCTAACTGTTCAGAGTATGAATGCTTAGATATTCATCAGTTATTTACGTATGTTGCAGATCAACATGAGTGCATACAAGTCCAGCTTGAATGATTCTTTTTATCTAAAATGGTAAAATCAAATAAGAAATTGTATGCTATGGAAAAGTATGTACTCAGTTAAGCAGGATGGGAAGTGAGAGATGATAAGCTAAAGAA